ACCCCACACCCTAAACCCTAGACCCTAAAACCTTTAGCCCCCCTCCCAACACAGGGGGGGGGGGGGGGCCTTTGTCGCCGCCTGGAGCAGGCCTCCCGCTTGGGCGAACCGAAGGCCCTCGTTGTCGTCCGTGAAGAGATAGGCCTACTCTGACCGGGGGGTTTAGGGAGCCCTAAACCCTAAACCCTAAACCCTAAACCCTGAACCCTAAACCCTAAACCCTAAATCCTAGAGTTTAGGGGTTTAGGATTAGAGTTGGGGAAAAGGGGATGCGGGTTTAGGGTTCAGGCCTAGTCCCACAGAGGGGATTTAGGGGATTTGGGGGGGTGAGTTGGGGGTTTAGGGGTTTGGGGATTGAGCTTCTAGGGTTGGATCAGGGGTTCAGGGGGTTCAGGGGGTTTAGAGGGTTTAGGGGTTTTGGGCTGAGTGAAAATAGGGTTGCGGGAGTTTGGGGCTTGAGGCATTTTATGCGGCTTAATGATTTTTAGTTTTGGGCAGCGTTTAGGGCTTGCGGTTCAAGGCTTTTTCGGGGTGGGGCTTCAGGTCTGGGCCCAGTCTCGCATGGGGTAGGCTCCCTGAACTCTGGTGTGTTGGGGTTTACCCAGGACTTTAGGGCAGCACCACCCCCCAAACGAACCTATGAACCCTTGGTAGCCAAGCAACCGTCTTGTAGTAAGGGCACCCTCTTTGATGTCACTTTTCAAGGGCACTGCGCGGGAACCAAGAAACAGCCTCAACCCCAAGCTTGTGAGCTTTCAACCTTCTTCCCTGATCCTTCAACCCTACAGCCCTCAACCCTTGAAACCTTCAACCCCAAAACGCCCTAAACCCTGAACCCCTAAACCCCTGAACCCCAAACCCCAAGGGGCCCATTCCGGAGGGGGGGGGGGGAGTTGAAGCCCAGCCCTAAACCCTAAACCCTAAACCCTAAACCCTAAACCCTAAACCCTAAACCCTAAACCCTAAACCCTAAACCCTAAACCCTAAACCCTAAACCCTAAAGGGGGGAGGGGAGGGGGGGGTGGGCGCCTGGCAGTTGAAGCCCAGCAGCTTCATGGCCATGGCAGCAGCGCCGCCTTTTTAGAAGGATGGGTGGAAAGGTTTACTTAATCCCTGTTCCCCTAGGAAGAAAAAAGGATCCTTTTTGTTCATATATAAGAAAGCCCATAACCCAAAAAGTAAAAAGGATCCCTAACACTGACCTAGTTTAGGGTGGCCGTTTTTGAGGGAAGGGGGGTTTGGGGTTTCGGGTTTAGGGGTCTCAGGAGGCTTTAGGGGGCTTGGGGGGTTTAGGGGTGCCCTGAGAGGAAGGGGGAGAAGGGGAAACCTTGAGGGGCTTATGGGGGGCTTAGGGATGCAGGGCCTGCGGGGGAGGTTTTGGGAGGAGATTTGAAGCCGGGGAGGGGGGGGGGGGGGAAATTTGGGTATCGGGAACCAAGGCACGCGACCCCCTTTTCCAAAACAAGGACCTCGCTCCTCAGTCGTCGGGACTTGGTCTCAAGCACTGACATCAACCAGTGAGCCGCCCAAGTCTGCGCCGCCACCTGCATCGGGAGGACCACCGCCAGGAACGTGACCCAACAGGCAGTGGTTCGGAGCCTCCGCTTGTGCCTTCTTCTTCTTCTTCTTCTTCTTCTTCTTCTCTTTCCTCTGCTTTTTTGCGGCTGCCGCTGGAGTGGTTCAGGCGGTTTTGGGGGCCCCACCACAAGAGGTGGGCATCTGCCTTCTTTGAGGCGCAAGGAGCTTGCAGAAAGGGCTCCGGTTTAGAGGCTTTGGAGGCTGAAAGCCTACGGCTTGGAGTTTAGGTGGTTTGGGGTTGGGGGTTTAGCGCTTGGGGCTTAGGGCCTGGGGTTTAGGGGGTGGGGTTTTGGGTTTAGGGTTTTGGGCCACATACTGTCTGGGGCCTACAGTGGATTGGGCGTGGGGTGTGGGTGGCCCCTCCGGCCCTTCTCCTAAACCCGATAACCTAAAACCCGAAACCCTAAACCCTAAACCCTAAACCCTAAACCCTAAACCCTAAACCCTAAACCCTAAACCCTAAACCCTACCACACCCTAAGGATGCGCAAGGTAAACCCAATAAATACAGCCCCACCCCCCAGGACGTACACCCCCTGAAGTGCTAAGCCCTAAGCCCTAAGCCCTAAGCCCTAAGCCCTAAGCCCTAAGCCCTAAGCCCTAAACCCTAAACCCTTCAAGAAAGTGCTTCAATGCCTGAAGCTGAAGGCTCATGAGGCAGCAAGAAGCTCTAGGCCCACAGTATAAACCTATAAACAACAAACCCTACAAACCCCGCAATCCCATGAACCCTATACACCCCACAAACCCTATAAACCCCATAAACCCCATAAACCCCATAACCCCCCCTAAAGTCCGAGCCCTAGACCCTAAACCCCAAACCCTAAACTTCCAAACCCTAAACCTTAAACCCTGAACCCCCCCCCCCCCGACCCTTTTGTGGCAGCCAAGTCCATGCCTCCTCCGACAGCAGAGACCCCGAGGGCCACCGGCGTCTTTGCCGTGACCTCATCATTGCGCATGCTAGACTAGCACCCGGAGCCCTATAAGCCCACTTAGGGCTCAGGGAATAAAGGCGTAGGGGGCTTAGGGGGGGGGCCCTAAACCCTTTAGGGCGAGGGTTTAGGCTTAGGAGGTTGTAGAAGGGGGCTTTAAGGGGTTTAGGGGTTTAGGGCGTTTAGGAGATTTAGGGTTGAGGGTTCACCCTATCGACCCTACACACAAACACTGCCTGCGTCTTTGGGAGTTTGCACCCCAACCCTAATCACCCAACGGCGAAGGACTGAACGAAGGCTTTTGGGGTTTGGGCTTTATGCTTTAGGTGCCAACGTCAACCGGATGTAAAAGTAGCCCGGTCAGTATTTTACTAAGGGTACCCTTTTGTGCTGGTAACTTGATAAAGGAACCTCGAACAAAACATGGGGGGCAAAAGGGTACCACTGGCCTACCGAGTGCTGTACCCAGAAAAAACACATGCCGGTTCTGTGGTCTGAGGGCCTGCGGAGGTTTAGGGTTTAGGGTTTAGGGTTTATAAAGGGTTTAGGGTTTAGGGTTCTAGGGGTGTTCGGGTTTCTTGAGGGCCGAGTTGCGGCCCTCCTTTGGGGATTTAGGGGCCCTAAATCACGCCGAATTTATGGACTTGGTCCAGCCTTCAACTGGTCACCGAAGATCTTGCCAAAGTCGCTCTGCAGATGCTGCCCTGACGGTGCAATAGGGTCTAGGGTTTAGGGTTTAGGGTTCAGGGTTCAGGGTTTAGGGTTTCTGTCCAAGCCAAAAACCCCATTGATAAAGATAAATACCCCGTGAGCATCCTCGGGCTGGGTACTTCCCAAAATCGGAGTAGCCCGGATCTGCACCATCAGGCTAAGATCCTTTTTGCAGGACCCACCCCCTCCCCCCCAATAAAGAGGGGTAACCCTATTTTGGGAATCCCCCCTATAATGTATTCCTGAACTGCGGTTCAAGTTGTGCATTCAAAAGCCCCCCCAGAATTGTGGGAATCAGGGCCGGCAGCAGCAAATATGGAGGGGGTTTAAGGTTCAGGGTTTCGGGGACTTGGACGGTAACCAACCCCAAAAACTAAACCCTAAACACCCCCACCCTAAACCCTAAACCCGAAACCCTGAAACCCTGAAACCCTGAAACCCTGAAACCCTGAAACCCTGAAACCCTGAACCCTGAAACCCCAAATGGCTCTCAGAATGGGATGGCAGGGCTCCTGGGGCAGTCGCTCTAGGGTGGCAAGCCCCCTAGAGCCTCAAACAACTGCATCCCTAGACCCCTCGACCCTACATGCAAAAACATCGAAACCCTGAACGCCTTTGGGTTTAGGGGTTTAGGGGTTTAGGAGGGTTTAGGGGTTTAGGGGTTTAGGGTTTAGGGTTTAGGGTTTAGGGGTTAGGGTGTAGGGGTTTCGGGTTTAGGGTTTGACCCCTCAACTAAACCGCCCTGTGTACCGTTGATCGTGTTTAGGCTGTAGCGCTTAGGGCTTATAATGGGGCATGAAAACTCCGTGTTGCCTGGCTCCGTGTAGTCATCGGGCTCGTCATCGTCGGAACTGTCGCCATCAGCTTCGATACTGGCAGGGCAGCTAAACTCCAACCCTGAAACATGGTAGACAGAAGACGCCCAAAACCCTTAAACCTCAAAGCAACGAACACCTGAGTCAAAACCTACATGCTCCTGCTGCACATCCCCACTGAGGTTTGTGGAGTCATGGGTTGAAGGTTTCAAGAGAACCCCCTAAACCCTCTACCCTAAACCCTAAACCCAGCACAGTAAGGCGCACCAGTGGTTGTTGCCGAGTTGTTCAACGGGGTTTCAACCTTGCCGGACTTGCGCTTTGGTGAACATCCCTTGTCAGGTCCTTGACCCTCGAATCCCTCGAGCCCCTAAACCCTAAACCCTAAACCCTAAACCTAAACCCTAAACCCTAAACCCCATACCCTAAACCCTAAACCCTAACCTGTTGACTACATCGCGCGCGCGCGAAATCGTAGGCCGACACACGTCGCTAGCCAGAGATCCGGGGTTTGGCATTTGATTTGAAACTTGTGGCAGGTTTTGTGCTTTGTTTTTGTACTCAACAAGTGTGTGTTGCTGGGTGGGGGCGGGGGAGGGCGGGGGTGTGTCGGGGTTAGGTTTGTTGGGGTAGAGGTTGGAGGTTTCTACCGTTGGACGGATGTACCCTCAGACCTAAACCCTAAACCCCGAAACCCCTAAACCCCTAAACCCTAAACCCGTAACTCCTAAACCCCAAACCCTCTGATGTTCGGGTGGTTAGTTGTCATGCAGCAAGTCCCACTTCATGTCACTCGCCGCGGTCTATAGGGGCGGTCCCTGGTTGGAGAAACTCTGCAGGTCAGAGATGGTAGAAATTGTTGTTGAACTCGTGTTTGGTGGTTGCAGTCTGCAGTGATTTCATGCCTTTATGCGGAAAAACCCCAACTTCATCTCACAGGCGATTTTCGATTCGACCAAGACTCACCTACACACTGGATCAGTGATGCCCTGTGGCAACGTCGGTTGGCCAAAATGGAGCCAGCACAAACCTTCCAGCTCCTGCTCGAACTCTCCTAGGATGGCCAAAAAAAGCCCTCTGAAAAATATCTCGTAAATATGATCCTCTTGAACCCAATAAGGGAAATACAACATGTCCCAAGGGCCTATGCCTAGTCTCTGCGATCAGCAGCGGTAGGAAACTGGCCCATCAGCAGCCGGTGCAAGCTCTGGAAGTAGTTCACATCGCGCTGGCTTGTGCCTCGTCCGTGGTTCAAAGCCTGGGCACGTATGACCTTCTTCTTGCAATCAAAGCTGGCAGCAAAAGAGGCATCTTGATGCGGGCCGGGCACACGGGTTGCGGCAAAATAGTGTGCTGCTGAGAAGTTGTTCAACAGTTGGATAGTTTCACCATGCGTCTTCGGCGCCAAATTACTGCCCTCAGTGACTCTGTCAACTAGCGGTCGAAGCTTTTCAACCAAACGCATCGGATTTTCAGCTGCAGCTGCTGGAGTTCTCATGAAGGAGTTCATGTCTTGGATTTCCCGCAAGTGCTCCAAACACAGCTTCTTTGAAAAACTGAAGCTGCAATCTGGGCATCTCTGCACTGCTGGCGCAGTACTTTGCGCGCTGAAAGCATACTTGCCACACCTGCAAGGAACTGAGAATTGTGGATCATGGCTCTCCTCCAGCAGGCACCGCTCACAGGTACAGCTAAAGCCTTTGCCGACAAATTGCCCGATCCGGTCTTCGCGGGTCTGTGCGACGGCGCAGTACGACACGCACACTTCCTCACCAGCTTGGATGTTGCGAAGCGCTCGAACTGTAGCTTGCGTGCTGGACGTGTCTGCAAAGGCATTGGCGCAACATGAGTGGTTGAAACGCGAAGCTGCTGGGAACAATGCGACCATGCTTGGATCACGAATGGTCTTGAAGACATTGTTTTTCAGTATTGACTGCAGGCGCGACGCGTCGAGCATTCTTGTCATCCAAGGACCGGGCTCCAAGGTCATCACATTCGTCTTGAAAAAATCAGCAGCTGATGTATTCTTCATGCACTGGGCTTCCATCTCTTCATACTCTTTCGGACCTGCTCGGCTGGAGCAGAATGCGGTGTCAAACAGCAAGGCCTCCCCCGCTGATATGTCTCGGTCTGCACGATAGCCTTTGCCTTTGCCAGGGATGTCCACCAACTTTACGGCACCATCCAAGATCTCCGAGTGTGTACCTGTGGCTAGGCGGGCAGTCAAATCTTTTGTCAGGTCAGCAGGAGCAAAAGGCACGCCTCGAAGCAGGCGCTGCAAATCATGCAGGCGCCCTACTTCCAACAGGCCTTCAGCACGGGCCAAGACCGTCTCCTGAGTCAGCTTCAGCAGGTTGCTCTCTTTGATCGCCTTTTCTCCACCTGGGAGCTTCCGAAATTAGGGGCACCTTATTGGGGTCCTTATTGTAAAGGGAATCCTACTATTTGGGGGTCCATATTAAATAAATTAGGGGTCACCGATTTTCGTAAACCCCCCACCTGTTGCACACACCTTGACCAGGAGTCGGCCGTTTCCGGGCCCTGCAGGACGTAGCTGTGCCAAGTGACCGTTGAGAAAGCGCCCACATTCACTGCTGAGGCCAGAAATCTCCACGAAGTCCCCGCGCCCAAGGCAGCTTGAGGAGAGGTGAGGGGTGGCTTTTCGCAGGTTGCTCGGCTTCACGACCGGTTGTGTATCGTGCCCCTGGAGCTTAATGACATGCCGGCCGTCTTCGTTGATTTGTGCCACTACCCCGACGCAGCCGTTAAAGCGCGAGCCAGCACTGCTTGTTAGCCCATGAACCTCCACAGTAGTACCAGTTGCGAAGTCAGGCACGGCGTATCCGTCCATGGATGAAGTTGAAACAGGACCTTAAACCCTAAACACGAAACCCTAGACCACGCGCCTTGCAAACCCCACGATTCCTACCTTCAAGGTGTTGTTGGGTACATTGCAAGCACCCCCCCCCCCCAGGTTAACCTTTAGTTAAACCCGAACCTTCACCATAACCTTACTCAATCGTGTTGAAAGTTGGGCCTCATTCAGCAGTCCATTCTAGTGAACCATTCTTATCAAGCCCAAGGAAACCAGGAGACCACCCAATAGTTCCCCTGAATAAACTCCTAACCTGGTCCCTATACTACCTTAAGGATCTTTAAATGGGTGCCCCCAAAACCCAAGGGTACAACCTTAAGGGTCCAGGTCGAATCCCTAAATTAGAGAGGCCCTAAACCCTAAACCCTAAACCCTAAACCCTAAACCCTAAACCCTAAACCCTAAACCCTAAACCCTAAACCCTAAACCCTTCAGGGTCCAAGCTAGAATCTCGAAGATAGAGAGGCATCCCCGCTGTCCCAACCATGGCCACACTTTGAGGCCATCCCCGCCAACCCCCCGTGGAGGATCCCAAAAAGGAGGCTTAGGGTTTAGGGTTTAGGGTTTAGGGTTTAGGGTTTCGGGTTTAGGGATCCTCTTAAGGGTTCCTGAGACCCCTAAGAATCAAGAATGACCCAATAGTAGTACAGGGACTTTTTTTTTGGGGGGGGGCCTAAGAATGACCCAATAGTACAGGGACTTTTTTTTTGGGGGGGGGGGGGGGGGAGTTGTACTTTTGGATCCTCCCAGGGCTCTGGGCCATGATGGGGCGAGCTAGACCGATGGCAAAATGTTGCCTTTAGCAGCTTTGGTGCCCCAAAAACCTCTACGGTGTACCCGAAAGCCTAAACCCTAAACCCTAAACCCGAAACCCGAAACCCGAAACCCTAAACCCAAAACCCAAATTCCTTTCTCTTCGGTCGCAACCGCTATCGACAGCCCCTTCACCCTAAAGCCCGCACCCAAAACCCCAAAACCCTAAACCCTAAACCCTAAACCCCTCCCTCCCATCCTCCCGCTAGCGCGCACATCAGAAGAGGTGCAAATCGCTTGAAAGACAGTTTAGGGCTTAGGGCTCTTTGGGGTTTAGGGTTTAGGGCTTAGCTAAAGCTGACGAAGACTACTGTTTGCTTAAGAACCCCCCCTCCAAAAATGAAAAAACATATTCCTAGTAAAGGTAATGTAGGGATTATTATTCTACATGATTAGTGGGGGGGGGGGTTCTTAAGCAAATAGTAGAAGAGAGAACGACCCAAAGTGGCCTTCCGGTTCTCTGCAGCCTGAGATGGCGGGTGTTCTATGCGTTTCCCAACATTGGGGGGCCCTTCGTTGGGGGGTTCCGGGGTTCCGAGAATAGGGAGACTAGTGATATTTTGGGGGGCATAAGAGAGGTTAGCATGACTCACATGTAGCATTCTCGCCCCCAGAGGAGTTGCTGACTCGGTTTGGGCAGCTCGGGATTGCGCGTGTTACGCACATATGGAGGGGGGGGGGTATTCGCTGAATGTCGGGCGATTTTGGGGGCGCCCTCTTTACACTAAGGCTCCGTAGCAGAATAGGAACCCAGACAGGGGCCGCAAACCTAGGGAAGCCTCCTGCCACGCATTGCCTTGCTTTTGTTATCTTCTATCTGGGGGTCGACTGAAATCACAGGATGCTTGGCTCTCTGTTATTGTACCTTATTGTACCCCTTGCACAACTTTAATGGCAGGTACCAACGGTAGAAGCCAGAATGTTGAAGTTGACTAAGGTAGGTGTGGAGTTAGGGGCTGAGGTTGGGGTGTAGGGTTTAGGGTGTGGGGCTTGAATTTCAGGGTTTTGGAGGTTGGGGTTTCAACGCATAGTATAGGGCCCTAAACCATAAGAATAGGGTTCGGGGGGTGGGGGGGGGGGGGGCTTGTTATAGTATGATTACAAAGGGTCCATGAGGGAACACTATTCGTAATTACCCTGAACCCTGAACCCTAAACCCAAACACCCAAAATCCATAAACCCATAAACCCATAAACCCATAAACCCAAAACCCGTAAACCCGTAAACCCAAAACCCAAAACCCCTACACCCTAAACCCTAAACCCTAAACCCTAAACCCTAAACCCCTAAACCCCTAAACCCTAAACCCTAAACGCCCAGAAGCTCGATGACCTTCTGCGGGGGCTTGGCCAAGGTCGGGTCGCCCTCTCGGGTCGCTGCAAGCCTCAAGGGGAATCTCTAGTTAGCTTGTGTTGTTTAGGGTTTAGGGTTTAGGGTTTAGGGTTTAGAGTTTAGGGTTTAGGGTTTAGGGTTTAGGGTTTAGGGTTTAGGGTGACAGCCGCAAATTCAAGCTGGGCTTCGAACCGCAAAGTTCCCCAGGCCTGACCCATCCAACACTCTGCCGACCGTCTGTTTTCACTTAGGCTGCTGCCCTGCAGCTGCTTTAACAAGCTCTAACAAAACTAGGGTTTAGGGTTTAGGATTTAGGATTTAGGGTTTAGGGTTTAGGGTTTGGGCTTTAGGCTTTAGGCTTTAAGCTTTAGGATTTAGGCTTTAGGCTTTAGGCATTGAAGAGACAACAGGGAGAACAACCTCCAAATAAGCCATCGAAACTCGAAATTTTCTGCAACCCCACCCAGAAGAGAAATAACTTCAAAACCACAAACACCAAAACCTAGGCCCTTCGCCTTTAAATGGGGGACTAGGGTTCGCCAAGGGTGTGCTGTAGAATTCAAAGCCCGAAGCCCTAAACCCTAAGCTAGTCAAAGCCATGTTCAAAAGGAGCCTCCCAACACTAGTTCATGGTTGGGATAGTATTTTTAAAAAAACAAATTTACATTCCTGATTGGGTTTAGGTACCCTGAAAAATGCAAAATGTTCCCCAACAAAGTCCAGAAAGCGACCCCAAACCCTGCACCCAACACCGGAAACGAAGGAGACCCTAGATAACCCCCAAGCCTTGGGGATGGTCGCCCTGATACTAACAGCCCTTCATAGGGATGATGCTCGGAGGTACTTTAGCCCCTAGCAAGGACTTTTCGTAACAGGGGGAACATCCCAAGCTAAGCCCTAAACTCAAAAACCCCAACCCTAATAACCCTGAAGCATGTCGCACAAGCCCAAAAAACAAACCCTACATGCAGAAGCTTTCTGGGGTTGAATGTGGTTCAAGTGGTTTGAGTGGTCCAAGTGGCTTAAGAGGTTTAAGTGGTTCAAGTGGTTTAAGTTCTTTAGGGGGTTCAGGGCCTAAAAACCCTAAACCCTGACCACAACAAAACGTCCCTGTGTTCCAGCGACAGGTGGCCAGTCGGTCGTTGGCAGAGGCACGCCGAGGCCTATTTAGGGTCCAGGGTTTAGGGTTTAGGGTTTGGGGTTCGTGTTTTGGGGTTTTTCTTGGGGTAGTTACATGGTCCTTGGTATGGGCCCTGTACCCTAAACAACCCATACTTCAGAACCCTTTAAAGAGGGTAAGGGACCATATTCAGGGCCCATGTAACTACCCTTAGAGCTAGGGTTTCAGGGCTCTAGGCTCTTAGGGTTTGGGGTTTCGGGCTTAGGGCGCGTAGAGACTTTAGGGTTGGTCTTTGGGGGGCACAGGCTCGGAGCTCCGAAGTAGATCCCCCAAACACCAACAAGGGCCTAAACCCCTCAGAACCATCTTCGTTTGGCCACTGGCTCAACTATAGGGACCCTACACCCCGAAACCTTAAAACCCTCAACTACCCTAAGCCCTAACCCCCTAAACCCCCCGAACCGGTCAAACCCTCAGCACGGCATTCGCACCTTCGAGGACCTCCCTCTTCTCCGGATGCACGTTGTCGCAGTTCTGACCTTCTTGTTTTGCAAGATTCTGGGCCCTGTGCCCGAAACCCGAAACCCGAAACCCCCGCACCTAAACCTCAAATCCTAGCCTCACCTGCGGGTCTGTTTGGCAAGAAGGGACCCCTCTTGCAAGGAGCTGACCAATGTTGAGCTAAACCCCAACCCCAACCCGTAAACCCGTAAACCCGTAAACCCTAAACCCTAACCCTCACCCTAAACCCTCAACCCGCAACCCTAAACCCTAAACCCAAGGCAAGGCCCTGGTAGTCATGGCCAGGGGGCGAGAGAAGTAGACCAGTGAGATCCTGCAATTGGGCTTCGGAGGCAACACGTATTTAGTGTTTGGGGTTTAGGGGTTTAGGGGTTTAGGGGTTTAGGGGTTTAGGGGTTTAGGGGTTTAGGGGTTTAGGGGTTTAGGGGTTTAGGGTTTAGGGTTTAGGGTTTAGGGCTTAGGGTTTAGGGTTTAGGGTTTAGGGTTTAGGGTTTAGGGTTTGGGGTTTGGGGTTTGGGGTTTAGGGCTTCGGAGGCAACACGTCTTCCAGGGCTATGGGATTGGAGATTAAGGGTTTATAAGGTTTAGGGATGTAGTGTTTAGGGTTGAGGGATTTAGGGTTTAGGGATTTAGGGATTTAGGGTTTTGAGATTAGGGATTAGGGATCTAGGGTTTAGGGTATAGGGATGCAGGGTTTAGGGATTTAGGGTTTAAGGAGTTAGGGTTAGCGTTTAGGGACTTAGGATTTAGGGATTTAGGGCTTATCGTTTCGGGATTTAGTGTTTAGGATTTCGGGAGGCAAGGCTTTGGGAGCGTTTAGGGTTTAGGCTTTCGTGTTGAGGGAGGCACCAATAAGACTGGGTACCACCGGATGCAACCCCGAACCCCAAAAATTAAACCTTAAACCGCAATCCTTAAACCCTAAAGCCTCAACCCTAACCCTAGACCTTAAACCCTAAACCCTACATGACAAGACGGCCGATCGTTGATCCGTGCGTAGCTTGAGGGCCCTTTAGGTTTGCTTTCCTTTCTAGTTGCAGGTTTAAGTTTAGGGGTTCAGGGGTTTAGGGGTTTGGGGTTTCGGGTTTAGGGGTTCCGGGGTTTAGGGGTCAGGGGTTAGGGTTTAGGGTTGAGGGGTTTGGGGTCTAGGGTTTAAAGTTTGGGGATTTAGGGTATTAGGGTGGACCTC